GCACTAAAACCATCTGGTCCTGGGCTTTTTTTAGTGGGGAGGCTTTTGATGACTGCTGCTATTTCCTGAGGGGTTATGGGACTATTTAGATGGTTTATCTGCTCCTGGTTTAACTTCGGTACCTGGTATCTGTCTAGGAAATTGTCCATTTCATCCAGGTTTTCCAGTTTTGTTGAGTATAGGCCTTTGTAGTAGGATCTGATGATTTTTTGAATTTCTTCAGTTTCTGTTGTTATGTCTCCCTTTTCAGTTCTGATTTTATTAATTTGGATACTGTCTCTGTGCCCTCTGGTTAATCTGGCTAAGGGTTTATCTATCTTGTTGATTTTCTCAAAGAACCAACTCCTGGTTTTATTGATATTTTATATTGTTCTTTCTGTTTCTATTTGGTTGATTTCAGCCCTGAGTTTGATTATTTCCTGCCTTCTACTCCTCCTGGGTGTATTTGCTTCTTTTTGTTCTAGAGCTTTTAGTTGTGCAGTCAGCTTGTTAGTGTGTGCTCTTTCCAGTTTCTTTTTGTAGGCACTTAGAGCTATGAGCTTTCCTCTTAGCACTGCCTTCATGGAGTCCCACAAGTTTTGGTATGATGTGTCCTCATTTTCATTGAATTCTAAAAAGTCTTTTATTTCTTTCTTTATTTCTTCCTTGACCAAGTCATCATTGAGTAGAGAGTTGTTCAGTTTCCATGTGCACGTGGGTTTTCCATTGGTTTTGTCATTATTAAAGACCAGTCTTAGTCCGTGGTGATCTGATAAGATGCAAGGGATTATTTCAATCTTTTTGTATCTGTAGAGGCTTGTTTTGTGACCAATTATATGGTCTATTTTGGAGAAGGTACCATGAGGTGCTGAGAAAAAGGTATATTCTTTTGTTTTAGGGTGAAATGTTCTATAGATGTCTGTTAAGTCCATTTGGTTCATAACTTCTGTTAATTTCAAAGTGTCTCTGTTTAGTTTCTGTTTCCATGATCTGTCCATTGCTGACAGTGGGGTGTTGAAATCCCCCACTATTATTGTGTGAGGTGTAATGTGTGTTTTGAGCTTTAGTAAAGTTTCTTTTATGTATGTAGGTGCCCTTGCATTTGGAGCATAGATGTTCAGAATTGAGAGTTCACCTTGGTAGATTTTTCCTTTGATGAGTATGAAATGTCCTTCCTTATCTTTTTTGATTAATTTTGGATGAAAGTTGATTTTATTTGATATTAGAATGGCTACTCCAGCTTGTTTCTTGGGACCATTGGCTTGAAAAATTGTCTTCCACCCTTTTATTCTGAGGTAGTGTCTGTCTTTGTCACTGAGGTGCGTTTCTTGTATGCAGCAAAATTCTGGGTCTTGTTTGTGTATCCAGTCTGATAGTCTGCGTCTTTTTATTGGAGAAATGAGACCATTGATGTTAAGAGATATTAAGGAAAAATGATTGTTGCTTCCTGTTATTTTTGTTATTAGAGGTAAAGTTATGTTTGTATCTTCTTTTGGGGTTGTTGGAAGATTACTTACTTGCTTTTTCTAGGTTGTAGTTTCCCTCCTTGTGTTGGCATTTTCCAGCAATTATCCTTTGAAGTGCTGGGTTTGTGGGAAGATATTGTGCAAATTTGGTTTTGTCATGGAATATCTTGGTTTCACCATCTATAGTGATTGAGAGTTTTGCTGGGTATAGTAATCTGGGCTGGCAATTGTGTTCTCTTAGGGTCTGTATGATGTCAGTCCAGGCTCTTCTGGCTTTTATAGTCTCTGGTGAGAAGTCTGGTGTAATTCTTATAGGTCTGCCTTTATAAGTTACTTGACCTTTTTCCCTTACTGCTTTTAGTATTTTTTCTTTGTTTTGTGCATCCGATGTTTTGATTATTATGTGACGGGAGGTATTTCTTTTCTGGTCTAGTCTATTTGGTGTTCTGTAGGCTTCTTGTATGTTTATGGGCATCTTGTTCTTTAGGTTAGGGAAGTTTTCCTCAATAATTTTGTTGAAGATATTTACTGGCCCTTTAAGTTGGGAATCTTCATTCTCATCTATACCTATTATCCTTAGGTTTGGTCTTCTCATTGTGTCCTGGATTTCCTGGATGTTTTGAGTTAGGAGTTTTTTGCATTTTGCATTTTCTTTGACAACTGTGTCAATATTTTCCACCGTATCTTCTGCATTTGAGATTCTCTCTTCTATCTCTTGTATTCGGTTGGTGATGCTTGCGTCTGTGACTCCTGATCTCTTTCTTAGGTTTTCTATCTCCATGGTTGTCTCCCTTTGAACTTTCTTTATTGTTTCTATTTCTAGTTTCAGATCCTGAATGTTTTTGTTTAATTCCTTCTTTGTGTTTTCTTCCATTTCTTTAAGGGATTTCTGTGATTCCTCTTTAAGGGCTTCTATCTGTTTACTTGTACTCTCCTGTATTTCTTTAAGGGAGTTACTTAATTCCTTCTTATACTCCTCTATCATCATCATGAGAAGTGATTTCAATTCTGAATCCTGCTTTTCAGGTGTGATGGGGTGTTCAGGGCTTGCTATATTGGGAGAACTGGGCACTGATGATGCCAAGAAACTTTGGTTTCCGTTGCTTATGTTCTTGCGCTTGCCTTTCGCCATCTGATTAACTCTAGTGGTACCTGCCCTCACTGTGTAAAACTGGAGTCTGTATTTCCAGTTATCTTGTTTATTGCAGAGCTCCTCAGAGTCCAGAGGTCTCTGTGGTCTTATGCTCCTAATCTCCTGGGTGGAAGAACTCCTGGGACTCAGGCCACCTCTTGGATCTGGAAATCCTTCTGCTCTGAGTGCAGTGGGTCCTCGATGACTCAGGATTCAGTTTTTCCACAGGACAGAAGCAGACCAACTCTGTGTCTGCTCCAGCCCAAAGGACCAGGCAAGGGCGGAAGGGAAGTGGAATTCCAGAGGGGCGGGGTTTGGGTAGCTGCTGTGCCCTGAATGTCCCTGGCTCCCTGATGTATCTCTGGGGCTTAGGGAGTGAGATGGAGTTCTTACCAGCTGCTCTGAGTGCAGTGGCTCCTGGATGACTCAGGATTCAGTTTCTCAACAGGACAGGAGCAGACCGACTCTGTGTCTGCTCCAGCCCAGAGGACCAGGCAGGGGCAGAAGGGAAGTGGAATTCCAGAGGGGCGGGGTTTGGGTAGCTGCTGTGCCCTGGATGTCCCTGGCTCCCCGATGTATCTCTGGGGTTTAGGGAGTGAGATGACACTAGTAATTTTTTAAATATCTAACTAACTGCTTGTTAAGAAAAACCTCCAATGGCTTATGCTCTAAGATCAAGAATTGACAAATGGGACCTCATAAAATTGCAAAGCTTCTGTAAAGCAAAGGACACTGTCAATAGGACAAAACAGCAACCAACAAATTGGGAAAAGATCTTTACCAATCCTACATCTGATAGAGGGCTAATATCCAATATATACAAAGAACTCAAGAAATTAGACTCCAGACAACCAAATAACCCTATTAAAAAATGGGGTATAGAGCTAAACAAAGAATTCTCAACTGAGAAAACTCTAATGGCCAAGAAGCACCTAAAGAAATGTTCAATATCCTTAGTCATTAGGAAAATGCAAATCAAAACAACCCTGAGATTCTACCTCACACCAGTCAGAATGGCTAAGATCAAAAACTCAGGTGATAGTAGATGCTGGTGAGGATGTGGAGAAAGAGGAACACTCCTCCATTGTTGATGGGATTGCAAGCTGGGACAACCACTCTGGAAGTCAGTCTGGCGGTTCCTCACAAGATTGGACATAGCATTACCTGAGGCTCCAGCTATACCACTCCTGGGCATATACCCAGAAGATGCTCCAACATATAACAAGGACATATGCTCCACTATGTTCATAGCAGTCTTATTTTTAATAGCCAGAAGCTTGAAAGAGCCCAAATGTCCTTCAACAGAGGAATGGATACAGAAAATGTTGTTCATTTAAACAATGGAATATTACTCAGCTATTAAAAACAATGAATTCAAGAAATTTTTAGGCAAATGGATGGAACTAGAAAATATCATCCTGAGTGAGGTAACAAAAGAACACACATGGTATATACTCACTGATAATTGGATATTAGCCCAAAAGCTCACAATATCCAAGATACAACTCACAGACAACATGAAACTCATGAAAAAGAACAAAGTGGTCCTTCTTAGAAGGAGTAACAGAATACTCATGGAAACAAATACGGAGACAAAGTGTGGGACAGGAGGGGCCGTCTGGAGACTGCTCCACCTGGGTATCCATCCCTTGTGCAGTTACCAAAGGTAGATGCTGATGTGGATGCCAGGAAGTGCATGCTGACAGGAGCCTGATATAGCTGTCTCCTAAGAGGTCTGCCAGAGCCTGATATATACAGAGGCAGATGCTCACAGCTAACCATTGAACTGATCATGGGCTTCCCAATAGAGGAGTGAGAGACAAAACTGAAGGAGCTGAAAGGGTTTGTGGCCCCATGAGGAGAGCAACAATATCAACCAAACAGAGCTCCCAGGGTCTAAACCACTAGCCTGGGAGCACATAGGGAGGGACCCATGGCTCCAGCTCTATATGTAGGGGAGGATGACAGTGTCAGGCATAGGTGGTAGAGGAAGTCCTTGGTCTAGTGAAGGCTGGATGCCCCATGTGGGGGAATTCATAGGTGGGGAGGTGGGAGTGGGAGGGGGTGGGGGCATATCCTCATAGAAGCAGGAGGAGGGGGGATGGGATAGGGAGTTCCTGGGTGGGGGGAGGGGAAATGGGATAACATCTGAAATGTATTTAAAAGAAAAAAAGAATTCATGTTCTTTCACCAACCAAAATAAAAAAAGAAAAAACAATATATATATATATATTTTTTTTCTTCACCAAGGGAACTGTGTGGACTTACAATTTGTGGACTTACACACTAGACTTCATAGTCATTGTAACTGCAGTCTCTCATCTACAGGGCTGCAGATGTTGTCTTTTTATTCTAAAGCTTATTTGCAAATTATAATGCTTGAACATTTGTCCTCTAATTATATCTTCATATTTATTTCAAAGCCGGCAAGGGGTTGATTTATCATGGAAAGCTGAACTGTTGCCAACAATTAAGGTAAACAATAACTAGAATTTTATATTTAGATAAAAAAATCAGCTGATAGGACTGTGCTCTTTTAAAGAGTCTTAAAAGTATTTGTTTAGAAATATATTTTGGGAGTATTTTCTTTAGAAATGTATTTGATGAGGAATAGCAAACAGCTGAATTTTGTTTAACTTTCAGAGATTAAAAACTGTAAGTTGACAACTTTCTGAATCTGTCACAGCATCATGCTGAAAGAGCCAGATAGACTTTTTAACGCAGTTTGAGAATATGCATAAATGTATGTATTAAACTAAACCTGGTTACTATATTCTATTGAGAATTCATTTTGGGAGGAAGGAATCTGCAGTACACTGTGAGACACTGCGTAACTTTCTAGATTGTATCACATGGTGGTTAAGCAGTCGGGTAACTCTTGTGGCTAGTTCTGCAGAGTGGCAAATCATAGCACAGATTTATTTAGTAATTGTTAGTGATTTCCTTAAGCAACTCCACTAAGTTAGCAAGTTGGATTTTTTTAAGATTTATTTATTTATTTTATGTATGTGTGAGTACACTGTAGCTGTCTTCAGACACACCAGAAGAGGGCATCGGATCCCATTACAGATGGTTGTGAGCCACCGTGTGGTTGCTGGGAACTGAACTCAGGACCTCTGGAAGATCAGTGTTCTTAACCTCTGAGCCATCTCTCCGGTCTCACAAGTCTTTTTTTTAAAAAAGATTAATTTGTATATTCCCAAAATCTATTGTGGGAAACACAAAATACATCTATAATTTGATGAAAATATCTGTTCTAATTTTTGAATTATGTTATTATATTTTACAATATCATCTAGGCTTTGTGGTTTCAGTCTTTAAGTAAATCAGTACTTCAAAATTAAATATATTTTCTAATGAACTTAGACTTGAAAGGGAAGATTTCTGGCTAATCTCAGTCCTCTTCAATTAATATCAAATAAATTATTTTTTCTCACTAATACTAATTTCTTTATTGAGGTGGCAGTAGTGTGGATTAAATTCATATTCTCTATATCACTGAATCATATCGTCAACCTTTGATTTTTTTTATTCTTGAGATGGGGGTGACCTCACTAAGTATGAATGTTGCCTTTGAATTCCCTTTATAGTACAAGTGGGCTTTGAACATACAATCCACCTGCCTCAGTCTCCTGAATAGCTGGGATGTTAATTTGCATAAACAATTAACTCTGTTAGTTGTACTAGCAGAAAGCAGCTTTAAAAGACTAATGGTATCAGAAGGAAGGTCAGAGCTACAACTTCGGATGTATTGTTTGTCTTGTCTTGTTCGCTCTTACTTTGTGCATGTTCCTTTCAAAACAAATATTATTTGATTTGTAAAACAAATGTATAAAGAAGCAATTTTACTCAACAAGATTTTTGAAAATCTGTCCATGGGTCCTCCCTAATTTCAGGCAAACTCAAAGCAGGAGTATCAGGTCAGATCCTAGCTGTAGGATTGCGCCTTGTTCTCTCGAGATACAATGAGCATTCCCTTACATTTTCAACTTGGAAATTCTATCCATTTTATAATTTCAGAAGAAGTAATGATTAAAAACTTTATAAAACATTCTCTGCCCTGTATTTTAAATTTCTTAGCTGGGTGTGGTGTACAGCTGTAATCCAGAGTTCAGGAAGCAGAGGCAAGAAGGATTAACAAAGCATTTGAGGCCAGCCAGGCTGTTCTCTGTTTTGAGAACTAACTTTTCTCAAAAAAACTAAATAAATTGTATAAGTAAATACTGTTTTTATAAATCTGTAAAGACTGAAGAAATGTATTTACCAAACTGTAGGTCCCTGTTTGTTCTTAATTTAGGAATCAAATGTCTGGATCGCAGGAAAGCTAGCTGTTCCAGCTGTCTGCTTTTTAGTAGTAATTTCTGGAAGAGAGGATTACAATATTCTGCATTCTTAGTTTTTTTTTAAGTTTAAGATGATATTAAACACAAACAAACTTTCCCATTATACTTAAAATTTTTATATAATGTATTAGACATTCTCGAGTAGCAGTTGTCTTTTAAACTATACAAATGAAGTAATAAAGCAAAGTATGTAACTCACCCTATATGTGCTACACAGTAAGTTCAAGGCCTGCCTAGGATACTTTTTGGAATCCTGTTTCCAAAATTTAATAATAAATAAGTAACATAGGTAATCATCAAGGCAAGTACATAGTACTTGCTAAAGGAAAATATTGTTGCCTGAGGCTTCACAAAGATCTTAAATATCTAAACAGACTAAAGCCACCTCTAAGTTTTCATCCTGAATTAAAATGTTCTGAAGGTCTTAGGCTGACACCTTTTGATTAGTTGCCCCATTTGTGACCAGCGTTGAATCCATAGGGATCACTGTCAAATGTAATTTTCATTTCCTTAATTACGCCAATGTAATGTATTCAAATTAAGCATCAACTTCAAAGTAGCCCTTTCTCTACACCATATTTTTAAAGATAACGAAATGGAATGAGATGGTTAAGTGAAAATATTTTGTAGTTTTTTGCATATTAATGCCATCTAAACAAAGGTTATGCCATGAGAAGCATCACTCTGAGGCTCTCTGCTGACTGTGTTTTAATAAATAGATGGAACATTCCAGGAAAGCACTACAGATGCTAAGCAGTCATTGCTGAGAACACATATTTAGAAGCTGTTGGAGTCGATTGCTGCACAGAACACAGACAGTAATCCTAACTGAGTTATCTTTCATGCACTCTACCTTTTGATGGGCTTCAGCCGCCTGTAGCTGTAATTTGGGCTGCACCTTTAACATCTTTAGTTTCTATGAAGACCTAGGAGTTTGCTGCTTGGCTGGACTTCTGGACAGGCTGTAGCCACTTTCTCGGTGATTTAGCTTCTGCACCTCTGTCCTACTTGTCAGAAACACTGACGTTTCTGAAGGAAAGTGAAGAAAACAAGTGTCTGTGGAAACGTGTTTTTATTCGCTACTCATGACATGTTGATTCCTGTCCTACATCTGCTTCCAGAAATAAAACTGGATTGAAAACTGTCTTTGGAATCTTGGGAGTTACTGGAAAGGCTAGTGTCTTACCTGTCTGTTCATCAGATATGAACTATAAAATCTGGTTTTAATTTTTATGGAACCCATAGTGTTCATTTGGTGAAATTCATCATTAGCAATGTTTCTTCATCAGGTACTAAGTATTTTATTAGATGATGTTCATATATTAGCCAGAAACTCTTTGCCACTTCAGCTATGTCAGAATCCTTGGAGATTAAGTTGTAACTTTCCCATCACATTTAGCAACTTTTGAATGTTCTTTGGAATTTACTATCATAAATATAGGAACAATACTATAATGCTTTCTATAGTAGCCAAATTACAAAAAGAATCACCACATTTGGAAATAACTATATAAAATCTTAACTTTAATGTTAAGCATCATTTGTTTTATCTGAAGAGATAATTCAAGCAATATTTTAGGTGGTTTATATTTATCAGTAATTACTATAAATTTATATTTTGTAAAATTATTGACCAGGAAATGTAAATCCAAATATAAACTTGATTTGTGTGTGGTTTTGCGGGAGTGTGAGTAGATGCTGAAAGTTACATTCAGGCCTCATGCATACCAAGTGGGTGCTTTAAGAGGTGATTTCTAAAATAACCTATTGAGAAATAAGCTTTTGCAAATTTTCTTTAACACGCATCAGAAACAGAAATGGCTTTGTGTCTTTACCCTTACTTGCAGTCTCTGACGCTACGACTTCAGGACTACCCATCCCTGTCGCATATTGTTGTCTATGTTCCGTCCGTCCACGGAAGTAAGGTAACAGATGTGTTAAGGTTCTAGTGGAGTGGTTGGTGGGTACTCATGTGAGAGTTTACTTTTTCATGATTTCTGCATAGGTACAGGCTATCGTGGCAGTGTGGTGATCCACCTGGTCGTTATAGTGTCCCACTCATCTTGAACTAAGCAGAATCCTTCTGTTCCTGCTGAGAGCGGCCTCCAGTTTGCCAGTCTTTCCAGATCTCTTACTTGCTAGGAACCATCTTATGTACAAGATATCAGAGACGAATAGGAGATATAGAAAAGACTCTGTCATCTGTCATTCTGTCGTGTGAGGAGAAAAAGGAGTAATGTGAATAAGAGTAATGAGAAAAGGTAGAATTTTGAATGCACAGAAAACAGGTCAGAGTATAGCAAGTACATGAAGAGAGTAAACACTTATAACATCTCGGATGGAGGAACTGAGCATGGCAGTATAGTGAGAGCATCACAGAATGGCTTAAGGAATAGCACTTCTGTAGGAAAGAATGACACTCTAGATCAGTACTGTCATGCTCCAAATTACTACCGTGAATGACTATTTAAATTTAAATTAATTGAAATAAAACAAAATTCAAATTACAGTTCCTTTGTACTACATACATTCTAGAGACTCAGTAGTAACATGGCTACAAAAATTGTCATCAAAACAAATCAGTAATACAAATCAAAGCAAAACAGTGACTGAGAAAGCATGGTGTGGAAAACAGTGAATAAATAAATAATTTTGAAAGGCTGGCCACCAGATGTAGACTAATCGTGGGCAAAAATGGAGGGAAACTGTCCCTGTAATAGTGTGCAGTCCTTGACTGAAGCCCTGACTGTGAGATCTTTCACTGAAACCAGGACCGTATCATCTTTTTGTGGTGGAGGATGGGCCTGCCACAGGAGGAGTAAGTGCCACTTCCGGAGTTTGGAGGGGCTTTTTTAGTGATGTGGGAGTAGGAATAAAGGGTGAGGATTTTTAGAGAGTCATAGGGAAGAAAGTATGTAGAGGGAGAAGCTCTGGCTAGCTTCTTTTCCCCATTAGGACCAGCCCACTTACCCTTCAAGGGCCGGCCAAGTGTCCTTCCTTTCCCATGCTCCTCTAGCAGACTTCTACTTAATCATGTGATACTTTTGATGACTCTTTGAGGAATATTCATATCACATTACATTTTAACTTATTTGCTAATATCTTTATTATTATGAACATACTGTGATCTCTGAGATTAACAAGAAGATACTTTTTTCCCAATTTTTATCCAGTCTGCAATGAATACCACATTAAATAAACAAAGAGACAAAACCCAAAGTTTTTTGAGTGAGAAAGTTAATGAGATTTTTAACCAAAATAATTAGGAAAATTTAGAAGAGATCAGGGAAAGGATAAGTGGGCATTGTTGCCAGTTATCTTGAAGACTGAGTCTCACAAGTACCTTTAATGGATTCATTGTTTAGTTTTGCTTAGCTCAAGTGAGAGGTAATTCAGCATCTTTAATAATAAAAGGTCTGTTTAAATGTTTTTCTGTCAGGTAAGTTGGCTTTGAATAAATCTAACATCTTTCCAAAACTTGGAAAAGCCTTTTCTGGTATTTAAAATTTTAAAAATCTAGTAGTTAAATATCTTTACACAAAATCATTGAAATTACATTTTTAAAACTGTTTTGCTATCTCATGATTTACTCAAAAAGTACTTTTTAAAAATATGAATAATCCTGTTCAGTAAGTGATTTCTAATTGTCTTAGTTAGGGTTTCATTGCTGTGACCAGACAGCATGACTAAAGCAACTCTTATAAAGGACAACATTTAATTGGGGCTGGCTTATAGGTTCAGAGGTTCAGTCCAGTATCATCAAGGGGGGGGGCATGGCAGCATTCAAATGGATGTGGGGCTGGAGGAGCTGAGAGTACCACCTCTTGTTCTGAAGACAGCTAGGAGAAGCTTGCAGGCAGCCAGGACAAGGGTCTTAAAGCCCACACCCACAGTGACACACCTCCTCTAATAAGAACACACCTTCAAATAGTGCCACTCCCTGGGCCAAGCATATTCAAACCACCACAGGTAGTCTTTGAGTAGTATTTCCTGTAATGGAAGTGCTTCTTCTTTGCCTTGAGAAAAGGAATAAAAGCAAAGCGCTTAGCATGGTGATATTCCTTCCTATGCACCACACAGTACAAGTCTTAACAGCAGGGCATTCACCTGGTCTTCAATTTAAAAAATAATTGAGAGTCCATCAGAGAGCAAAGGAATAACACAGCTGAGATACCCCAGGGAGTATTGTCACGGAAGCCTGGGATAGACACTGGTGGCTTCCCTCCTCTTGAGACAGCAAACTCTTCCGCTGTTGTGAGGATTATATTCATTTTTTGTCTCCTCCTACTGGCCAAAATCATTCAGTGGTGGTGTGATTATTTACATCTTTTTGCCTTTCCAGAAACTTCATTTTGCAGACAGCCAAAAACAGTTTTCCTACACATCTGGAAATGTTATTAAAAAGGGAAAATTGTCAAAGTTAACATTGTAAAGGCATGCTACATTCTAGGTCTCATTTTGTGAAAAGCTCACTTTTTTATTGAGCAGAGCTCACTTTTTCCCATTTTCTGTAACAACTGGCTGATGTGCAGTAATCACCTACAGACAGCACTAGCTGGAGACGAGCTAGATAGGTAGCTACAAATGCTTTTATAGCAAGATTAAACTATAGATACTTAAAAGATACAGGATTTAATTTAAAAAGCAACAAAGTTATACTTTCCTTTTGACTAGAAAAGCACTGAGACATGTTGTCTAAACCCTTAATTAATCTTAAATTGCCTTTGTATCTCAGTGCTTTGATCTAGCCTTTAATACCCTTCCTCTGAAAACACCGATGTTATAATTAAGCTTTGTAATGAATTTGTTATAAAAATGAACTTTAGATAATATTTTGATTAAGAAATTGCTTATCAAGTGTTCTTGACATAGCACCTGCTTGAGAAATTCTTGCCAGAGTTACAGAATAACCAGTTTCACAAACCTTGTCAAAGCTGAGGTTTATTTTCCACACAAACCTCAAAAGCTTTACTAAATTAAATTCTACATGTTCTAACGAGTCTATAATGTCTTATATCTCAGTTTGTTGTAGACTGTGAATTCTTTAAGAAAGAAGCAAGATCCATACAGCTTCCTGTAACTCACCTTTTTTCCTTTGGTAAGTATTTTTGTTTTTGAAGCTTAAGCAGAGCTTTTAGCAGTGCCGATTGAATTTGCCAGTCATGAAATATTAAATATTAGCATGCTCCAAGTAGAATACTTAGGGTGTGATCAGGTTCAGTAGTTTGATTGTCAGCTTCTGAGGATAAATGTTAGACAGGCCTTGTCTCAGTTCATTTTCTCTTATTGTGTGGTAAGACACCATGACCAAGGCAACTTATAAAAGAAAAACTGTAACTAGAGAACATAGTGACAGAGAAAAGCATGGCGGCTGGGAAGCTGAGACCCACACATGACCCCAGAGTAGGAGGCAGAGGGAGACTGGGAAGCACAGCAAGGCCACACCTCCTAATTCTTCCCAAACTCTTCCTCTAGGGACAAAGTATTCGAGTATGAGCCTATGGGGGCCATTCTTGCTACAAACCACCTCTGTATTTTCCCATCTTTATATAAAATGTAGGAACCAAGTGCTTCTGTATATGTGTTTTCTATGTAATACTTGTTCATTTTAGAGTTTTTCACAGAACAAGCTTTGATTTTTCTTATTTAAATAAGCCTCACTTATTTCTCATTCTGATTATATGCTTGTGCCTTCAACACTCTCATGGTAATTTTCTGTTCGATAAGACATCCCACTTGCTTCTGTCATAGACACAGTGTATCTAAATTGTTGTCTGTCTTAATGCAGGGTTCTCAACTATACGTTGATAGATTATTTATGTGGATTAGAGTTTTGCCTGCATGTATTTTTGTGTACCATGTGTGTGCAGTACCTGTGGAGTCCAGAAGAGGGCAGAAGATCCCCTAGAACTGGACTTAGAGATGGTGTGTACCACAGTGTGGTTTCTGGCAATTGATTGAACTCAGGTCTTCTGGAAGAGCAGCCAGTACTCTTTGCCACTGAGCTGTCTCTCCACCCCCCAATTAAATGTCCTTATAAGCTTTATTTTGAAAGAATTTTAGACTTACAGAAATGTTACGAAAGAGTGCAGACTTCCTTTATAACCTTTACCAGTCTTTCATAGATATTGACCTCTTACATAAATATAGCATTTTACTTTCTGTTTTCTGCTGTTATTGTTTGTTTGTTTTTAACAGTGATTTGCTATGTAGCTCAGGAAGGCTGACCTTGAAACTTATGATTCATACTTCCGCCTCCTGAGGGCTGGGAATATAGAACCTGTTCTGCCATGTTTGGCTAACACAATCTTTTTCTTTTTTTTTTTATTTAATTACCTGTATGTGTGTGTGCCTGTGTCTCACTTGTGTACATGAATGTAGGCACCTGCTGAGGCTAAAGGGGTTAGATTCCCCCTAGAGGTAGCTGTGAACTACCTGATATGAGTGCTGGGAATCAACCTCGGGTCCTCAGCAAGAACTGTGCATGTTCTTAACCACTGAGCCATCCTTCCAGCTCCATAATACAGTTTTAGATCTGAGTTAGTACTGGTACAGTTTTTAATAACCTAAACAGGCCTTGCTCATCACCAGTCTTGTTTCTGATCCTCCTCCAGGTGCATCCTTGGTTAGCCATTATGTCTCCTGTACCATGTCAGCTCCTCCATCAGTTTTCTTGGTGATTATCACTTTGAAACATTTCAGTTACTTGCAGAAAATCCCTTAGTTTGGATTTGTTTAATGTTGTCCCATTTTAACATTGAGCTTATGTAGTTTTGCCAAGTATACCCAGAATTCATGTGCCTTCCTCATGTTCCAGAAGTATGATGCTAATAAATCTAGTTGTTCATGGTGTTAACTTTGATCCTTTGTTAATTAAACTGGTATGTCAAAGATTTCTCTACTATGTAATTACTAGTCTTTATTTTTTACCTTTACAAATATCTTGCAGGAAATAATTTGAAAAAAATGTGCGACTTATTAATTTTAGCATACAGTGGGTCAGCTGTTTTTTAACAAGTAATTATTATTGTAGTCTCCATTATTGAAATCCTGTCTGAGATAAAGTTGCCTCATCCACCTTATTTATTCATTTATTTTTTAAGACTGTATGGACTAGTGAAAAAATGTATGTGTGTATGTGTGTGTGTGTGTGTGTGTGTGTGTGTGTATGTATGTGTGTGTATGTGTGTGTATGTATGTGTGTATGTATGTATGTGTGTGTATGTATGCATGTGTGTATATGTGTGTATGTATATATGTATGTATGTGTGTGTATGTGTGTATGTATGTGTGTGTATGTATGTGTATGTATGTATGTATGTATGTGTATGTGTGTATGTATATATGTATGTGTGTATGTATGTATATATGTGTGTATGTATGTATGTGTGTATGTGTATGTATGTATGTGTTTGTGTATGTGTGTGTGTATGCATGTGTGTGTATGCATGTGTGTGTATGTATGTATGTGTGTGTATGTATATGTGTATGTATGTATGTGTATGTATGTACATATGTATGTATGTGTGTATGTATGTGTGTGTGTGTATGTATGTGTGTGTGTATGTATGTATGTATGTATGTATGTATGTATGTGGCTGGGGCCTAACTCAACAGTGGAGTGATTGTTTAGCATGGATATTTTATTCATGGTGTTCTAATACTAGTGTTATGTACTCTCTTGTGCATTCACAAACACACACACACAGACACACACACACACACACATATTCCTTTCATGAAAAATATCAGTGTTGCTTGTAATTGGAAACTTCTTTTAAGGTTTTTCCCCCTTAGCCCACCCCGGGCCAATGTTTTGGGGGTACAAAATGCTCAGGAAAATACCAAAGTCACAACTCTGAATTACCTGTATCATTTAAAAATAATGTGCTTTCGGAACCAAATATTCCTAAAGTTGGAAGCAAGTACTTGATTTTTAAAATCACCTTCAGTATAACTGGAAGTAATTATAAATAATGTTGTATTTAGCAGTTACTGCCTATCTATCAGCAGTAAAAACTTGTTAGCTTGTGTGTTAAAGCATCTGTCTCCCTGGTAGCTCAGATGGCTTCAGCCCCAGCTTGCGCTGGCTTTAAGCTCATCACTCCCTGCTCATACACCACCACAGCAAATTTTAAAAAGTTTTCTCTTAATTTCACAATTCTGTTGGTATATTTAAATGTTACTTAAGCAATCAGCACATTTTTGGAGATTTTCTGTTATTATAAATAACACAGTGCTTTTAATTCAACAGGATTGTCTTCCAGGAAGGCTATATTAAATACAAACGGCCTTTACTACAACCTAGAGCTGCTGAACTTTGGACAGGTAATCCTCATGAGTAGAACAGGAAGACTTCATCTGCATTTACTATTTCCTTAAACAAAGAAACTGTGGTTTTGTTTTTATTTTTATTTTTTGTATTTGTCCACCTTTATCAGATATACCAAGCTTTTAAAGTCAACGTGGTCAGCAAGTGCACTGGAAGCAAAGGTAAGGGCATAGTGTTAACATCTGAAGAGCAGTACACTTGCTCTCAAGTTTCTCCAAGGCTTAGTTCGTGTCTTTTCTTTCATATATTTTATATGGACCACAATTAAATGTATAATCATGGGAAATTTTTCTATTTTCAAGAGATTTAATATAGAATTTCTTAATAGTAAACCATATTTATGTTTAAAAGTACTATGTATTTTCAGGTAGGTGAGCTGGCTCAGCTGATAAAGGCCTAATTTCAATCCCCAGAACCCATGTAAAAGTGGAAGAAATAAACGACTCCATAAAGTCTCTCTGACCTCCACCTGACCATGTGTACTTATACACAATCATCATACACAAACATAATAGTAATCATCAATAATAAACGTTAAACTGTGGATCTTTGTGTCTTATTGCAGTAGCAATTCATGTTTATCTGTTCAATTTTGTTTTAGTTTCTTAATACTACTCAGATACCTTAATATCTCTTGGGAGCATAATATTCAATAATTTTTTATCATGTGCTATGACCCATGCTGATCTTTTTGTAAACTGGGCAGTTTATATGTAGTAGTCTTATAGATTGTATACAAGTTAAGGTAACACGTGGAATAATGCTTCTCTCCTTTGTGTCTTAACAGAAGAAATAACTAGTATCTATAAACTTCATATTCCTTGGTCTTACGAAGATTCACTAACCATTGCACAGTAAGCATATAAAAAATTGCTTTAAATGTTGGTGTTTTAAAATAGAATCTGTGCTTAGTTTATTTAAGTTGTATGTATTATTAAAGTTCGTATTAGTAAAATGTGTGCACCCTTTAGCATCATGCCCGTATTTAAGATACATAACATTCTATTTAAACTATAGCACTTAAATCCTATTTGAAAAATGACTGTCTTCCCGTTTACCTCCACTATTCCCGTGTGCTTGAGGGACAGCCAAATAGCTGTGGTCTGAATGCAAATGTCCACTTGGGACAATGCTTCTGTCTGTCTCTTCTACATGATTTCATTCTAGTGTGCTAAGAACCACCTTAGCCATGGCTGTTTTCTGGCACTTTATATTTGAGGATTGATATTTCAATAATCTCTTCAGGGTTCCGTCTTCCACAGACATTTCTCTGAAGCTTCATGTTGCTCAGCCAGATAATGACAGCCATGTGGCACTGTTAAAAATGTACACATCATCAGACTGTCAGTATGAGGTAAGACATGTTTGCATAATTGTATGATTTAATTATAGACAAGTAGAGATCTTTTCTCTATTAGCTGTAGATATATCATGCTGTGGAAGCCCATAGGTTTGGGAAATTAAAATGTTAAATATTTTCCACTTCTCTTCTTTGCCATTTAGTATTCCTATAGGGAGACCGAGCATGTGGGCATATTATAGAGTAAGTGGGTACTGCAACTTATTCTGAATTTTAAAGCCCAGAATCAAGAATTTTTCGTAAATTGAAGAGCTTCATTTGATTAGCTGCCATGGCTCTACTACAGCAGTTGACATGATGTATACTAGTTTGTACCAGGCCTGGGTTAGTTTAAAGGATCTCACCTTTACTACTTTTTAAAGATCTGTATGCTTTTCAGTGGTGACATTATAGTACTCTGGTATATGTAAAATATCTTATTCCTGGTTAGCAGCCCCAAGTATTCGGATTCTGTAATAGGACTAACTTCCTTAGCATAAACTCGGAAATACCAGATTAATGGAACCTGTTCCTATGACCTAGTTTCAGGTGTACCTGCATAATGAATTAATTTGTGTCTCATGGAACTCATGGATGCTAGTTTGCAGTATGTTTCTAACAGTGATGAATATTGCAGGTCTACTGTGTTTTTTCAGTTTGAAAGTTTGTATTTCCACTATTAAAATGATAAGAATTGTATTGTCTTTGGAGGCAGAGGCTACCCAGGTCTGTATAGTGAATTCTTGGCTAGCCAGGGCTACACATTGAGAGCCTATCTTTAAAAAAAAAAAAAAAATGTTCTCAGTCTGGCTTCAAATACTGCATGCCCACCAAATGTACATTTTTTTTGAAAGTCAGTATCATATATTTTAAAGGAGTCTGTATTTTAGCAAGACACAGCCATGTTGTATATAATTGTTACAGCTTTCTTAAGAAAGTTCTCCTTTTTCCAGTTTTCTTAATATCTAATATATATTAAAGATGACTTTCATAAATATTACTATGATTTACATTATTTTAACCAAAATGATATTTTAACCACCAATATCATAACATATTGTGGATAATGAGTAGTAAAAGGTTACTACCCACATACCATAGCATTCATCCAGTTGTTGAGGAGGAAGAATGCTGAAAAATGCATAGAATGGCAAACTGTAGTTTAGACAATTAAAATGATGGCTGAGGACATTCTGGAAAATCTTGTTTAATTGTTAAAAAGTATGCAAAAGTACTCAATAAGATATAAAATGAGTTTAGGAAAAATAATCTTCTTTAACAATTATTTTATACCAGGTGACAATTAAGACTTCCTTTCCACAAATACTTGGACAGGTAAGACAAACTTAATGAAGGTTGGTTGATTATTTATTGCTTTGTGATTTGGAAGGGATTGCAATCTTTTTCAGTAAATTAGCAATTTTTTAAGTGCAACCACAGAATTAGTCATTATTATTAGAATTTGCAAAATTGTGTAATATTATGACAGAGAAATTAATGCAACAAAAAGTTTATTGCTGCTTTGAGTTTTTGATCTTTGTGTTTTGTGACTCAGACATACTACTTTCTTGAATCATAAGATAGTAAATTAATATTGGCAATTTTGTATTTGGTCATGATTACAATTCAGCTATTACAATAAAACATTTTGTATGCATTATCTCATTTGATCTTTGGAACAAACTGTGAGGATTAGATATTTAGATTTTATTTGTTTTGTTTGGTTTTATTTTTCAATACAGGGTTCTTCTGTGTAGCCAGGGCTGTCTAGACTTACTTTGTGGACCAGGCTGGGCTGGAACTCACAGAGATCCTCCTGCCTCTGCTTCCCAAGTGCTGAGATTAGAGGTATGCACCACCATGCACGGCCAAAAATTAGATTTAATTATTGTAATATTTGTAAACATAATAAAATTCAGTTAACGTGTGTCTTATATAAATCATGAAGACACAAGTAAATTTTAGTTTGAGTTGTAAAATAGCATTATTAAATACTTAAAAATTTATAAAGAGTTAAGGAACCAATTAAAAATTATTTTTTTGGAATATAAAATAATTCCTGCTCTTGGGCTTTTAAAGTGCAAAGGACTTGTCACTTGCATAGCTTAGAGTGAAGGTGGACACCTCTTATCCATATCCCCATGGCCCATATTTCAGATCAGTGATGAGACAGTTCAAGCTTCCTCAGTATGAAATAATCAAAGACAATTACATCAAAAGAGGACAAGGTAATACTTATGTTCAGATATAGAAATCTTTCTAAAAAGTAAGATTGTATTAATGCCATTGGATCAAAGGTCTATACTTTTTATGATGTCAAAGAACTTGAGTTAATACGTCCAAAATTACAAAAATGAAAAAGCACACGGTCTCTCTCCATCCTGAATTACTTAGCTTGTAGATTCTAGGGGGATAGACTCATGTGTATAACATATCTAACTCATTGTAGATCCTAGGAGAATAAACTCAAGTATATAAAGTATCTTAACTCATTGTAGATCCTAGGAGAATAAACTCAAGTATATAAAGTATCTAACTCATTGTAGGTCCTAGGGGAATGAACTCAAGTATATAATGTATCTCACTCATTTGATATATGTGTATTTTTAGATTCTTTAAATTAGCACACAAAACATTGTTTGATGTCATTATAACCTTTTTGAACTGTGTTTTAGTAGATTTCCCGCCCCACTCGATTTCCATGCCCTCCCCTCCTTAACCTCCCTCACAGTCTCCTCTCCATTGTTGTGTGGGGAGTCTCTGCAAACACCCTGACCAGCAGAGTGAGGAGAGAAGGAAGTCTGGCTCAGCATGACTCAGGGGACAGTTTTCATCCAAACTTCTGGAGTCTGACACTGAGTAGTTCATTTTAGGCATATTTAAGCACAGCACAATTTCAAAATAGTTTGGTGGGAATTAATCAGTCCTGTGTATACAGAAAGCTTAAGAGATGGCTGTATTGAAACTCTTTTAAGTACAAGCAGCGTCTTCCATACAGATAGCTTCTCTGGATTAACTGAGAAAGCAGTCTCCAGGTAAACAGTGGTCCTGATGAGGGTGGCAGGGAGGACAGAATGTGGATTGGCTGATGTGAACATGAACCTGAGGGAGGCGGTGTGGCCTGGCCATACCAATACTCAGAGGCCACCAGCTGTGAATCACACTGTTCCTGCCTTCTGGGCAGAAACAGGTTATACATCTCTCCCCTTGAAGAGACGCCTCTGAATATTGAACATTCCTGGCTTCCCGTGTGCACATGTGTGAGCACAAGGACCTTGTGTCTTGTTTCATGTCACATATTCCCTCATGTCCCCTCCCACACCCAGCACTGGGCACTTTGTTTAGTGACACAGTGCTTCTGGAAGCAGCATTGTCTATCTATGCAGTATGTTTCCTTTCAGTCTATTTGTGTTTGTGCTCATGTGTACATGTGTGTATGTGCACATATACATATGTGTGTATGTGTGTGTGTGTGCGTGTGTGTGTTAATTGGGTTTACATGATAGTAAGTTCTATTTGTATGTTACATGTTGGGTAATCCCCTACCCTCTCTTCCACCAGACCCCCCCATCTTGTTCCCTATTTAAACTTTCTCACCCTAGAATTCTTTCTACTTTCCTACTTTACCTGTGTTCTGCTGTCCCTCTTCCTTTATGGCCTCATGCCTTCCAGTGCCCCTAGTTTTGTGTACATACACACACTTCTGCTACAGTGAATGAAAGAAAATAAACAGGAAGATGAATGAAGAATAACTACTTGAATTTTCAGCCTTTGAATAGATGATTTTTTTCATTAAATTATTTTTTTCTGAAAAAGAAAAGATTAACTCTTCTTAGATTATTCACCTGAAAGAAGAGAAACAGTAAAGTGTGATAATTGTCTCGGGAGAATTCCATAGTGTTGCCTAATCTTTACATTTTAAGGGAACTGAAATCTGGATTTAAAGATTTCAATTTTTCACTGTTGACATATATTCAAATTGTGAGCAAATACTATGCCGTGTACTAAGCCAAATGTAGCATGCCTGCACTTAACTCTGACAGAAGACCAGTTTCTGATTGTTGATTTAGTACCTTATGGACCAGCTGTACTCACAGCCTGGTACAGCATGCTTCTAACAATAGCCCTTTCTTGTTACAAGAAATCTCATGTTCAGAATACACTGTAGGACTGTATCCAGAATTCTGGAACAGTTAAGCATATTTATGATTGATAGTGGTGACCACTCTCACTTGCTGTGGGTCAGTTACCATCTCAAGTGGGAGTATGATGTAGGTGCACTTAATGAAGGGCTGCCCATCTTGTTCTGCTGATGAAGTGTAAAGATAAAGAGGATGCCTTGTACAAGGACATATAGCTCAGCGAGAGGTAAAGCTGGCCATAGCCCTGAATGCACCAGGCTGCCTCTTCACTGCCATAGTCTACAGTGTGAGGGTCAAGCGAGTCTACTGTCTTAGCCCCCTAAGTAGCTGCATGCAAGCTTTCCTTCCACATTCTGTGTAACTAAAGGGTTCTTTACATTCTCCTAGTACATGAACAGGCAGTCTCTGTACCTAAATCTGTCTGTCTGCTCAGGGGGCGGGGAGTGAGGCCTCCCTCAAAGGACTTGGAGAGATGGAGATGATGCTTCTAACATACATCTCGAACAGTAAACTCTCAGTAAGCTTGCTTTGAAACGTACCGGGAAGACAAGGAGGACACTGGGCTTTTTGAAGTTTTACACACTATTTTGTGTTGGGTTCCAACTGCCATATGCTTTATCCAGTTATCAGACAATTTGTATTTTAAACAGACTCCATGGAATGGAGAAAAACTTTAATGCTAACATTGAGAGACATACCTAATGCGTATATATAAAAATATCACAGTTGAGCCCGTGATTTTGCTTAATTGCTATATGCCAGCAGAACAATTGACTTACCATCGCCTTGAATCCAGTCTGCTTTATAGAGGCTATATCATCCTGAAGCACAGGAACACGTGGCCATGAGCTTAGGCTGAGTTTACGTTTATGTTTCACAGGATTTCCAATTTAGTGAAGGTTAATAATTACAGCGAATGATTTGTGATGGCTTATCTAGTGAGAGTTATCATTCCAACTGCTTTAAACAGTGACTGCTTTATCTTAATCGCCACCTATAAGCATTAGTACTGTCCCCATTTTATTAATAAGCACGTAGAAATGAAGTAAGCTAACCATTAACATTTATAATATTGCAACATATGGACTCTCCATACCTGAATTCTTTTGTCCTTAAAATAGGGATGAATCCACTTTAAGGCGTTGTTTTTGTGAAGAGTGCAAGAGGTGATGCAATTAGAAGCCAGGCATCATGAGTGAACAGTGGATGCTCAGTGGATGCTTTGAAACTACCTTGAAGCATGGGAGCTCAGTTATGCCTCTGTGAAAAACTCAGGTTTTTCTATGGTGCTATATTTCAATAATGTTTACTTACTTAAGGTTGTGACGCTCCTTAGAAATATGTGTGCAGCCGTGTCAGGAAAAATGCAAAGTAAAGAATAACCTTTTTTGGCCGGGCGGTGGTAGTGCACACCTTTAATCCCAGCACTTGGGAGGCAGAGGCAGGTGGATTTCTGAGTTGGAAATAACCTTTTTTTATTTTGTGTGAAAATCTTCTTGTTTCATCAGCATGGCTATTCTGCAGTTGACGTCTGATTTGCCTGTCTTCTAGGTAGTTAGATTTCATGGTGGAGCTCTTCCTGCCTACGTCGTGTCTAGCATCCTTCTTGCTTATGGAGGACAGTTGTACTCTCTCCTCTCAACAGGTAAAAAATTGCTCATGCCTTAAAAGTTAATGCTGTTTTAAATTTTACAGTAGAGCCAGTTAGTTTCATGTCATTTTCCCTTGCTGATTTTGTTCACTTTTGTTTTGCCAGTACCAGAGAGCAAAGCCCTGTGTGGTCATGTTTATTTAAGTTATGATGAATTAGAAGGCACAATAAAGAAGTTCTCAGAATTAAGTACCACCTTGGAAACACCAGACTAGCATGTGGTTTTGTAACCAGTCTTCTTCACATCCTTTCCATTTTTTCAGTACTTTTGTCTTATAAAAGGAGCAAAAGTTACTATATACATTAAAAATGACCCATAAAAATGAGGAAGAGGAGAAAGCAAAGGAGGTCGGAAGAGAGAAGATAGATAGGAAAGGAGGTAGGAAGGAAAGCACCGGAAGGAATGGGAGCAGCAGGACAGAAGAGAGGGTTAGTAGTGGCCTGCCAGTATCAAGGGATCTTAGTGTTTGTGCTTCTCAGGTAAGATCCACACACTGCAGCTTGTCCTTAGGTTTTATCATTATGTTCCATAGTGGCAGTTTCCCACAATCCCTCCACCCCCCCCCCTTGTAATTATTGAAAACATTGTGTTCTTTTGTGTTTCTCATAGCTTAGATTCCATTGCTCGTGCCCCATGATGGACATGTTCTTCTGTTTGCTCTGTTTTCTCACACCTATGTTGGTAATTAGAGCTGCGGGCTTGGTGGCTCTTCTCGTCCAGAGCCTTCCTCCTTGCTGCTGTGGCAGCCGAGATGTTTGTGTTGATAAATTTGCAGTGAGCATGTACTCTCTAATCTACTTGCCTTCCTAGTTTATTCCCTTCCTTCCTCCCCATCTTCTCTTTTATCTCCCCTCTTCTCTTTCTTTCCTCTCTCATCTCGCCTGTTTCTCTCCTCTTTCATGCCTCAGCCTTTCCCTATCTCCTAAGTTTTGAGCCAGCGCTCTATTAACTACTTTTTAAAAATCTTCCATGTGGCTAAAGACAAAAGAGTTCACAGAAGTCAGCTTCCCAGAGTCAGCAAAATGAAGAGCAGATAAGAATATGGTTCCCAGTAGGCCAGGCTTTGCCTCAGCTTGGACAGTAGTCTGAGGAGGTAGGAGATGGGGAGGGAGAGAGGCCACGCTGAGGAATGTCAGGAATCCTCCTCACCATCTCTGTGGACTAAATCCTTTTCTAACTATTTAGTTCTTTAAATGACCTTCACAAAACTTCAGTACCCTTTAATAACTTTTCGTGAATTTACTGTTAATGTTTAATCCGTTAATTGCTATGGTGGCTTTTTCAAATACAGTGTGTGCCACACTAAGCTCCCCTTCCACCCTTTGTGCTCTCCGTTTGTGTCCTGTGTCCCTGTGTAGCTTGTCCTTAGATGTGTCCCCTATCTCCACAGCACCCTTTCACTCTTTCTTGGTCTCCTTTGTATTGGGATAGACTCTGATTTGAACCCACTTATATGCATACATATGTGCATTGCAAACTAAGTTCAGCATATAGAGAGAACATGAGACTGTTATCTTCTGAGTTTCAAACCTAGCCTTTTAATTGTGGGCTATTCTGGCAGTATGATGTCAGCCAGACTTTAGTATGTTTGTTCCAGTTTGAAAAGAGACACTTCATACTGCTTTGTTCTAACAGACTGACAATTGATTTTGAATCACAGAGAATCTGCTGGATTGTCTGTGGAGACACTAGGTACATTTAAAACTAGCTGTTCTAGGGGATTGAAATATATGAGTATGTCTCAAACAAATGAAGAGGTAGTCATGTAGCAAGTATGAACATCATGTCACCTGTAGATTTTACCTGCTAGAATGAGTGTAGTAAAATGGTAGCTATAGGATACTAAGGATGCAGAGAAATTAGAACCTTCATATGCAACTGTAGGAAACAGCCTCGCAGTTCCTCAAATGGATGGACAGCTACTCTATAACTCAGCTCCTCTGTTCTTAGGAACACACCGAAGAGAACGGGAAGCTTTCTTCCACATAGACAAGTACACAAATGTCCACAGTAGTACTACTCACAAGCAAAATTAAAACGATATGAAGGGCTGATGGTATCTCTCAGTGGTAAATAGAGCACTTGCCTCGCGTGCTTGAAGTCCTCCCTAGGTTGGATCCCTAGTACCTCAAAATAAATTCTATATATGTTAAAGTATGGTTGATTCTTGACAAGCGTTGAATGAAGGAAGCTAATCACAAGGATCATACACTATATGACTATGTTTATATTACATGTTCAGAATAGGGCTATCTATAATGACAAAAGAGAGATTAGTGATTGCCAAACAGTGGAAAAGTAATTAATTAAAAGTAATTTCTTTCAGGTCTTGAAAATGTTCTGAGACTGATTGTAGTGATGGATGTATACCTAAATATACTAAAAGTCATTGACTTTATGGACTTCAAATGGATGGACTGTATAGCATAAGAATTATATTTCAATAAAACTGTTAAAATCACTTATCAATATTTATAAAAATACACATTGTGAAGCCCTAGCTTTGATACCCTAGATATGCTTGACAGATGACTAGATATGTGTATTGCAGTGAACCTTCCAAGAGTACTGTCTGTGCTAGAACTATAGACACTTGCAGTTTTGGGAGTACAATGTTTTTCTTCTGTTATATGCTACTGTTGGCATTGTGAGATAAAGTATTTTTTAATTACTGTGAATTTTTTTGCACACAAATGATTTTCTTTAATCACCAGGTTATTGCTTAGAATATGGTACCATATTGGATAAAGAAGCCAAACCATACAAAGTTGACCCATTTGTAATTATGATTAAGTTTTTGTTGGGGTAAGTTTTATTATCTGTGATAATAATTTTAATTTTGTTTAAAAAATAATTATGTTTGATTTCATAATGTAGTATGAACATTTATATATATTTGGCAATTGATATATTTTATAAAATTTGAATTTTCTTTTAGGAAAATGTTTATTTTCAGTAGTGAAATCACTTCAAAAGTAATTATAGGTTTTTATATATAAGTAATCATATATGTATCTAAAAATCTAAAAGCTTAAACTTTAACCTAGTTAATGTCTTTCTAATTTGGTTATTCTCATTAGGTAATTTTTTAAATTAAGAATCATTTCTTAGGCCTGTTTCATCCGTCATTCCAAATAGCAGTTGACTTCCTGACTTTAAACACTGTGTCAGTTGCTGTAGGGATTGTTGATAGGGGTTAAAGGAGTACTCAGATATTTAATGGTTGGTAGACTCTCTAGGGAGATAAGTCACTTTTTTTGTTCATTAGAATTAAGACCCAAGGACTGAGAAGTTCACTTGGTGGTATAAGTGCTTCTGTGAAAACATGAGTTTGAATCTCTAGTACTGACACCAAGACCAGTTGTGGCTGTTTGCCTTTAAAACTCCAACATTGAGTGGGAAAGGACGGCTGGAACCTGAGAGCTTGCCGGCTGAAATGCCAAACTTCCAGTTCAGTGACAGACCCTATCTCAAGGGAATAAGGCATAGAGCTGTAGAGGAAAGTGCTCAGTCTGTGTGCAGCACACCACACACACACACACACACACACACACAGAGAGAGAGAGAGAGACAGAGAGACAGAGAGAGACAGAGGCAGAGAAAGAGAGAGACAGAGGGAGGGAAGAGAAGAAGAAGAGGAGGAAGAAGAGGAAGAGGAGGAGAATGGAGTAAAAAAACCACACATGGTTGCACACACTTGTAACCCAGCACTCAGAAAGTGGAGACAGGAAGATCTACACTTCAAAGCCAGCCTGGGCTACATGAGCATTTATGTGAAAAACAAACAAGAATGAAGATTTGTTTTCAGTATATTCAGCACGTTAGGGATTCTAGAAGATGGCTAGACACCTCAGACAATAAACAGTTAAACATCAGCTGTTGTGATTTTATTTGTTTTTTTTTTTTTTGCTTCTACTTTATGGTTTCATTTGTCTGCTTTACAGGTATAAATGGTTTAAGGAATTATGGGATGCAGTATTATTACCGGAATTAGATGCCCTCGTTTTGACTAGTCAAAGTATGTGTTTCCCTCTCGTGTCTCTGATTCTCTTTCTGTTTGGAACATGTACTGCGTACTGGAGTGGCCTGCTCTCTTCCACGTCTGTGCAGCTGCTTTCTTCAGTGTGGCTAGCTCTGAAAAGGTAAGTTATGCTGAAACTCTCTTAATACTCTAGTGAAGAAAACAGTAAGTGCTAGGGTGTAGACCAGAGGAAAAGCATGTGCCTGGTATGTGCTAGGACCTGATTCTGATCCTCAGCACTGCAAAGAAGAGAAGCAGAGAGGAGGAGACATATAAAATCAGATGCATACACACACATTCCAACAGGAATCTTAAATTTCTCAGTCGTCACTTATTTTGTAAATAAAGACACCGACTTCTGTTATCATACTCAGAGGCAGGAGACTCCAGTCCTGGTCTTAAGCATCTGATTGGATGAATGGCTAAACTCTGAAAACAGAGCCTGAGGTTGTATATAGTACAGGCCGAAAGACAGTTTGAATTTAAAGCTACTTGAGGCTTTCTGGATAAAAACCCAAGTCTGGTTTTCTTTTCGCTCCTCCATGCTGGATGGCTGTGATGTTGTTCACTGTCACATGGCATGTTACACGTGCTGCTGCTTCCCTCAGTGTTGTGAGGAGGTTCTCAGCTTTCTGTAGTAAGACCTCAGGCTTCATAGATGGAAATGTGTTCTGTCAGGCTTGCGTGACACAGGACCTCTCAATAATTGTCATGTTTTCTCCCTTAGTAACAATCATAACGACTGATTGAAATAATCATCACACTGTGTATAGAACTGTATATGACATCATACCTTTATTGAGACATACTTAATCACTTACTTTGTGTTCCTCACATATTAATAATATTAATAACCAGCAGAGGGCCTGGTAGAGCACTTCAGGTTTGTTGCTTTCCATTTGAAACACTCAGGCTGTTAAATGTTTCCAGCCTCATACCCTCTTATATTTTGAAATATTTGCACATACATAATAAGAAATCTTGAGAATGGGACCAACCTCCAGATGCAAAATGCATTTGTTTTCTATTACTTTATATATGTAACCTGAGGGTTATTTTACAACCTCCTTAATACACCTACATTTTGTCTGTGGCCTACTAATGAACTCATGGATTAGGATGTCCTCTCGTGACAGGACATTGGTCCTCAGCCTGTACATTGGTTTGATTTTGGACTATATGAAAATATGTTATTGTATTTAAAAATAAGAAAAGAAAGAAAAAAAACCTGTTCCTTTTATTCCAGACCTGCTGAACTTCCTAAAGATATCAAGGTGATATCACCAGACTTGCCTGTTTTGACAGTTGTCTTTCTCATAGTGAGTTGGACCACGTGTGGAGCACTTGCCATACTCCTGTCCTATCTGTACTATGTGTTTAAGGTATGTGGATCAGGAAAGCCCGAAGGCTGGGCTTTGGGTTAGGCGCCTGTAAAATGCCTCATAGGCATTAGTATCGCAGGGGGTCCTGGAGGATGCAGGCTGTGTGAGTGGTGCATTGATCGTGTGGTACACTGTTGACACTACACCAGATAACTGCTTTTACTGATTCTTTTTAAGCACTAGGACGTGCACACTGTAGATTATTTTCAGTTTTCTAAAGAGAAGTTTTGTGCATCTGAAAAGCTATCTAGAGCTACTTCAGTTTATAAATTACATGGTTAGGTTCTTTTTTTTAAATATATATATATATATATTTTTTAAACTGACTCAAAGATAGAACTCCATCAGATATTTGTGGGAAACAGTAAATTTACAATTTTTTCTTAAAAATCTTGTAGGTAATTTACCACCACATATAATTGTACATTTTTATATAATATTAAATATAATCAAACTTTTGACCTACAAGATGTAAAATTACTATAGCAAGGCATTATTTACACATAAGCTCACAGGATTTAAACAGTCTCTGCATATTCTGGAAGTTTGTATTGTTTCTAATGTGTTTGTCTTTTTAAATCCATAAAAGTTAGCATCTGTTATGGTTTATCTTTCAAGAAATACTGTTTTAAAATGTTTAAATGAAGCCTTGTTGCTTACTTTTAAAAATGTTTTCCATATTGCTTATTTTTATTTTATGTGTATGAATGGTTTGTCTTTGTGTGTCAATGCCAATGGAGACAGAAGATGGCATTAAGAACCCCTAGAAGTTATGGAGGCTTGTGAGCCATGAGTAGACTTGGAACCAAACCCAGGTCCTATGCAAGAGTAGTTAGTGCTTTTTATCACTGAGCCATCTCTCCAGCTCCATGTTCATATTTTTTTTTGAATTTTCAGACTATGATGCTTCTCAGTTTTAACTTTTTTAAAAAAGTCTGTTGGTTTTGTTCCAAATAAAATTAAAATAATTTCTTCCTCCTAGGTTGTTCATCTGCAAGCCAGCCTAACAACATTTAAAAATAATCAGCCAGTGGTAAGTTTTTGTTTCTAAACTCTATATAGTTAATATGAAAATACTTGAGAAAATATACACTTGATTATTTTGTTGTTGTGTTTTGAAGTTTGGGGTGTGGTGGTTTGAATAGGCTTGGCTCAGGGAGGTATTGGCTTGTTGGAGTAGGTGTGGACTTGTTGGAGGAAGTGTGGCACTCTGGGAGTGGGCTTTGAGACCTTCTTCCTAGCCTCCTGGAAGACAGTCTGTTCCTGGCTTCCTTTGGATGAAGATGTAGAGCTCTCAGCTCCTCTGGTGCCATGCCTGCCTGGACACTGCCATCCTTCCTGCCATGATGGTAATGCACTGTACCTCAGAACCTCTAAGCTAGCCCCATTAAGTGTTGTCCTTTATAAGAGTTGTCTAGGTCATGGTATTTCTTCACAGCAATGGAAACTCTTAAGACAGAAGTTGGTACCAGGGACTCAGGTATTGCGTGATAGGCTTGACCATGTTTTTGTTTGCAGGAATATGAATTTAGGGATATTGGATTTGGGAAGTAGTGGAATGCTTTAAGGGGTACTTAATGGACCATTCTAGTAGAAATATGGAAGACATTGATGCTGACGGTGATTTGAACTATGGGAGCCTGGCGCAAGAAATTTCAGAGAAGAATATTAATATGTGGCCTAGAGACTGTTTCTGTGATATTTTGGTGACAAATGTGTATTCTTTTTGCCCTTATCTGTAGAGTCTGCCTGAGGCTAAGGCAGACTTTTCAGGTAAAAAGAATCAGATTAATTGCACTGACAAAGAAAGTCTCAACAAAGCTCAACAAAGACTTTGTCCTCTGGCTTTATCTCATGAAGAGCATTTTTATCAAGCTTAAAAAGGAATACTACAAAATGTCTAGTTTAAGTATTAGAGGGGCACCAGGAAGTGAAATGGAGCTGAATCTTCTGTTTAAGGAGATAACAGATTAAGAAAGTAGTGATCTCAGGGCAAGATCCCACCCAGCTAAGCTTATTGTTTGTCTTTGCAGTTGATCAAGGGATAATTATATCATGTTAGGTATTATTACCTGGTTATTGTTTTCATTTGAACTTTTAATCTGGAATGAACTACAGTCTAGAAATAGGGAGCACAGTTATGACCAGATCGTGAAGCTGGAAGACACAGCTTTTCATCTGGATCCTGAGGAACAGTAACCTTGAAAAAGTTTGACCCAGGCATTGTAGTACACATCTTTAATCCCAGGAGACTAAGGCAAGCAGATATCTGAGTTCAAGGTCAGCCTGGGGCAGAGCAAGTTCCAGATAAAGAAAAGCTTTGACCCAGGTATGGTGGTACACATACATCTTTAATCCCAGCATTCAGGAGACAGGCATGCAGATCTCTGAGTTCAAGGTCAATCTACAGAGGAAGTTCCAGGACAGCCAAGCTTAGGCAGTGAAGGGGTTGGAAATCAGAAAGCTGGTGATAATAGAACAAGAGGGACATGTTCCAGCTCCAACAAGCAACACAACTCGGCAGCTTTGGCCATGTGGCTCTGGCTTTACAGTCAGGAATAGAAGGGACTACTCGGACAATTGATGCTGGTTAGCCAGAGCTAAGAAATTAGTGGTGATTAAGAAGAGGCCAGTATCACTGAGGTGAAGTCTGGGAAGAGTTTTCTGAGCACAAAGAAGCTGTGTTCCAAAGATAGCCAAGGTTGTACTTCATGCTGCAGCCAGACTTGATAATGTGCAATAATCACTCAGGTAGTACTGGTTTTGAAAGTATGAAGGGGTCATGGAGATCAGCTGGGCCTTGGCATTGTGAGAGACCAGGGAGGCCATTGGTGAAGGTGCAGCCTCAGTTGCAGTTGATTGCCCAGGACTGAAGGGGTCATGCGAAGAATGTGATGCTTGGCACCATGAAGGGAGCCTATGAGAGGCTTTTGGTGAAGCCTAGTTGCAGTTGAAGACTCCAGCATATTGGAGATGGCAGTATCATGGCAGGACCACCAAGAACAGCAGCAGCAGTAGAGTAGAAAGCCCTTTGAAGGAGCCCAGAAGATCATACATGGTTCCTGAACATTGGAACAAGAAACTGTGAGGTTAAAGTTTACCTGGGGCCTCCAGGATGTTAGAGATGCCAGAGCCATGGGATACCTGCCAAGGAAAGCTGCTAACAGCGAGTAAAACTAGCCCAGGAGAAAGAAGTCTGTTATAGTCCATAGAGACGGAAGGAGTGGAGCTCTGAAGAGCACTGTGACATCAGCCATGGAGATGCAGAGTTTGGGGTTTGCCCAGCTGGCTTTGGGTCTTGTTTGATCCCATATTTCCTTTCTATAAAGTTTGAAATGGTAATGTATATCCTGTGATGTTTCAGGTATGTGATCTGCTTTTCGATTTTGACTTTATAGGAGATTACAGTAAAGTGATTGGATGAATCTCAGAAGAGACTTTGAACGTTGGACTTTTATCAGTGTTGAGACTGCTAGAGACTGTAGGGACTTTTGAAGTTGAACTAAATGTATTTTGCATTATGCTATGGCTAGGTATGGCCCCCATAGACTCATGTGTCTGAATGCTACGGGGCCACGCAGTGGAATGTGGTGGTTTGGATAGGTTTGGCTCAGAGAGTGGCACTACTAGGAGGTATTGGCTTGTTGGAGTAGGTGTGGCCTTGTTGGAGGAAGTGTGGCACTGAGGGAGTGGGCTTTGAGACCCTCACCTTAGCCTCCTGGAAGACAGTCTGCTCCTGTTTGCCTTTGGATAAAGGTGTAGAACTCTTGGCTCCTCCAGCACTATGTCTGCCTGGACACTGCCATGTTCCCACCTTGATGATAATAGACTGAACCTCTGAACCTGTAAACCAGCCCCAATTAAATGCTGTCCTTCATAAGAGTTATAAGAGTAATTTTTATGGTGTCTCTTCCCAGCAATGGAAGCCCTAACTAAGACAGGGGGTTAGGATTTTACAATATTTAAGGGGAATTATGAATTTAGTAACTTTAAAGGAATAATAAAACAGACCTGACTCATTATCAGTTTAACTTGTTACATTCAGCACTTTTGTTGTTGTTAAGAAATAAACTGTTATAAATTTTATTTTTAGTTATTACTAACATAAGTCAAAAGAATGTAGCTGGACGTGGTCACACATGGTGGTGTTTCAAGCTCTCAGGAAAGTGAAGCCTGAGCCCAAGAGTTTGAGACAAGCCAGGGTAACATAGCATGACCACATCTCAAAGAAAACAGACAGACAGACAAAAAAATCCTTACGATGGCAACAGTTTTAAAGTACTTCTAACAAAGTAATTTCAGTATTTTATTTATGTTTGAAAATGAAAAGATGAGTTAGTTAAGTAATTTAGTGATTGATTCTGAGCACTATCTTGAACTCATTTTTGCTTATTTATATCTTGGCTTATTATTGCTTTCTAGAATCCCAAACACTCTAGAAGAAGTGAAAAGAAGTCCAACCACCATAAAGACTCTGCCATCCAAAACCTCCGCCTATGTGCCAATGATGCTGAAGATAGCCTGCGCATGCACAGTACCGTGATTAACTTGCTGACGTGGGTTGTGCTGCTCAGTATGCCGTCTCTAATCTACTGGTTAAAGAACCTTAGGTATGTCTATTTATGTCAGTATTGTTTGTGTGGTTCACACAGTAGGTCTCTCTTAATAGAGCCTGACTGTATTCCTGATGCTCCATAAAAACTGCTCAATAGGATGCGGTGTGTTGCCTGGGGTTAGTTTTCAGTTAGCCATGATGATATAAGTTTTCAGATTATAGTATTCTCCAAAAATCAGCCAGAAAGTGATTGTATTTTTTACAAAAAAAGTGATTTTATTATGTGTGGTATAGAAAATATGGATCCCACTGTGACATCTTCGTACGTCTTTTCCTATGTTGAGGTCATCTTCTCTTTCCCAGCTTCTCTTCTCCGTTGGTCCCCTTCACTTTCCAACAAAACCTTGTGTAAACAGCCTTCCAAAAAGTCAGTACAATGCCTAGGAATAAGCCTAATCAGGAGGCTGAGTGAAGCAGTGTTGACATTTATTCGGAAGCACAGTGGATTCCAAACCGTCGAAGCAATGCTGTACACGAAGAGGAGTACATGCAACGGCTGTGCCTGCACATGGTCTGTACAACAGTTCCAACGACTGCCAAGTTATGAACAAGCTTAGAGGCGCAACATGAAGAAAGAGAATATAGCATACATACACAATAGAGTATTCAGCCATGAAGAGCAGAATGGTGCTTTTTGCAAGAAAATGAATAAACCTGAGGTTATCATGTTATGTGAAATGAGCTGGACTTATCTAGAGAGGAACATCCACCTTCCATCCCTGACTTACAGAGACAGGAACACCCACCTTCCATCCCTGACTTACAGAGACAGGAACACCCACCTTCCATCCCTGACTTACAGAGACAGGAACGCTCACCTTCCATCCCTGACTTACAGAGACAGGAACACCCACCTTCCATCCCTGACTTACAGAGACAGGAACACCCACCTTCCATCCCTGACGTACAGAGACAGGAACGCTCACCTTCCATCCCTGACTGTTTACAGAGACAGAAACACCCACCTTCCATCCCTGACTTACAGAGACAGGAATGCTCACCTTCCATC